AAGTGGCCAGATCATAGGCATGCAGATAGTAAACTGTGAGCGTCTAACTCACCCACAGGTTAGTGTAAAACCGTGGACAAGCTACTAGGTCTCTTTCTGTTTCAGCATACTCCATGTAGGATATTACATTTTGTTAAATGAAGGCTTTGGGTTTCTTCTGCTCCAGAGTAACTTGAGTGAAATAAAAAACATCAGACAGAACTGGAATTCTGAAGACTCAATCAGGCTAGTATGGGAATGGGAAGTCTGACATTTGAAGCATTACTTCCAGAATGCTTCTGGGGAAAAATTTTGAGGGCTCTCCCCAGAGAAGACTCTGAAAATATCTTCTTTTAAAGAATCAGGAGTCATTGTAAAAGAGTCTTCCAAATCCAAATCCTGCCTCTTAAATAAGTTTAAAAAACCTGTATTTGCTACCTGCAAGCAGAAAACATTTCCAGAAACAAAACCAAACCGTGCTACTCAGGCTAGAGGCATTCTTGACCAATAAGCATTACCAGAGACATCCTCTGGACAACTGACAGCATTTCAAGCCACATATGACAGGCTACTACCCCTCATTGAAGTTGAGGGTCACAGGAAGGTGGCATTTTAAGACCCCTTTGCAAATGAGACACAGAGGAAAGCATGTACATTTTTTTCTTGTTACGCAATATGCCACTTCTCAAACAGCCCTGATTGCTCGCTGGCATTACATGGTTTGTCTCCTCCAATCTCAGGCTCAGGGATCAGGTAGTTCATTCCAGAGCTAGAGGGAATCACTGAACAGCACGTAATGGATCTGCACTGAGAGAGGGACTCATTTCCAGGAGCTTCTAACTTTTTCTATAGAGCTTCAGGCTGGGTGTTTAGCTGTGAAAAATCAGCACAGGGTTGGATAGCTTCTTCTTCTTAATGCTAAGTTCTCTCCACCCTACGTGCTCAAACCCAAGATGGGTTAGGCAGATTTAAATTTCTCCTTTGCTTCTCGGGCTAACTTTTGGTGGCCTTTCTCTTGTCAGTCTTACTGAGCACCTCTATCTACCATTCCCCACATTTTGGTGAAGCAGAGGCAGACATGCTTTCTGCCTCTATCAGCTCCCACTAAGCTAGGATTAGACATGAAGGCAATTACAATATTGAGTATCTCACAAACTTGATTTTCTCACCTGATGATTTTATCACCTTCTAGATTTGGCTAAATATCACTCCTGGCATCTTTTCTTCACCATCAACCTATCAGGAAACCTATCAGTTCTTTAAACATGTCAATCTGTCTTAGCACCTGGTCCACTGTTTCTCAACTCTCACTTTCATCTTAATGAACATCTTCCTAGAAGTCTTATAAAGCATACTTCTGTCTGCAATTCTCTATTCCCCGGTATTATGCTTCTTTACACTGTAGGATTTATCAATATTTGAAATTATGTACTTATTTGGTTACTTTTTCATTTCTGTCCTTCCTAGTAGAATGCAGCCACATTGTTCAAGTGAACAAGGATAGAATCTCTCTTCTTGCCCACTGCACTTGTTATGCTTTCAGCAATGTCTAGAATAAAATAATAGTAGTGGTTTAATAAATAGCTGTTGAATGGATAGATGGATGACCCTTCCTATGATAAATGATTCTGGATAAGGAAGTGGATATACTATGGAGGGCCTTACTACTAACAATAAACAGTGTGCGTAGTCCAAGAGGCAAATGAGATGCTCTCAAAGCATTTTAAATAGACATTTACAACAGAAATATCCCCGCTAATGTCATATGTACCTTTGAGCTGTGGTGCTGAAGAAGAGTGTTGAATATACCATGAATTGCTAGGAGAACAAACAGGTTTGTCCTGAAAAGGGTTAAACAGGGCTGCTCCGCGGAGGTAAAGATTCAGAAGCTTTGTCTGACATTCTTTGGACATGTTGCAAGGAGGGACCAGTCCTTGGGGAGGGACATCACATTTGGGAGGGTGGAGGGACAGTGCAAGAGAGGAAGACCTTCGATGAGATGGACTAATTTAGTCACTGGGTTAATGGGAGCGGGTGTGGCAGAGACAGTAAGGATGGCACAGGACAGAGCAAGGTTTAGGGCTCTTGTACGTATGGTTGCTATAAGTCGCAAGAGACTTGATGACACACAACAACAGAATTGTGTGTGATCAACTTGGAACCAATCCATAGTTGAGCCTCCAGAGGGCTTTCAGAGGCAGTAAATTGCATGGGGGGAGACCTCCAGAGTAGTTGGTGGAATCAAATCACATGCCTTTGGGATTGCAGCACACTTCTAACCACTAGGCTAAAAAAATGTGTGTGTGTGTGTGTGTGTGTGTGTGTGTGTGTGTGTGTGTATTTCGTTCGAAGCAGGAGTGGCATCCAATTCCTAAATACCATGCCTCTGGAAACTCTATGAACTTTGATAAATGTTGATGGTTGTAGCAGGGCTTTAGGTCTTTTGTTCATGGGGTCACTATGAGCCATGCTCCACTCGAAGGCAGCCAACAACAATAACAACAACAACTGTCATATGGAAATGGACTTTGAAGGGACAGGGGAATCAGTCATAGGCAAGAAGACCTATTAGGAAGTACCTATAAAAACAAGGCGAAGTCCTTGCTATTCTGAGTGTAGTCAATGGGCTAGCAGCATGGCTATGGAGCTTCTTAGAAATGCACAGTGTCAGATCTGCTACAAAATCAAAAAAGCTCAGTTCTAAGTAAAATACAGTGATGGTCTTGCCTGCCTTTGATGGCTGGGGCCTAGGAATGAGTCATAACATCACTTTAAATCTACTATTTCAGGAATCTTTGTAAGATTAGCAGAAATGTCTTTAACAGGTTATTACAAATTATTTCGAAGTGTAATTTTGTCAGAGATAAGAGAAAAAAAAACAAGAGGGAAAGGTGAGCTGAGATGGTTGGGGAATATTTGGTCACATGTGTGACTTTGGGCCTGGAAGTTTTAATTCTTGGAATTGAGGATGCAAGAACTACAAAGCGTGTTCATTATCAAGGACCAACTACCTTGGAATCTAGCGCAGTTCTGGCACCTAACAAGAACACACATTTGCTGAATGAGTAGAAGAATGAATTGTGGCCAAGTAGGTAGGGTGGGAATTCTGTGGCCCACTGGTAAGGAGTTGTGCTGCCAATTCAGATCTACTTGGTACAAACACACCAGCTGCTCCATGGGAGAAAGATGAGCAATATTCTCCTGTGTCACTTACTGCCTCTCAAAACTCACTGGAGGGTTAGCTGTGACTCAGTTCTTAGTTGATGGTACACAACAACAGCGCATAAGGAGTCGTGCTGCTAGCCCAAAGGCAAGTGGCTCAAATCCACTAGCTGCTCTGCTGGAGAAAGACGGACAATCTCCTTTCATACTCTTTATAGCCTCTGAAACCCACTGGAGGTTTAACTATGAATCAGATCCAACTTGACAGCACATAACAGGAACAACTGAAGCTCTAAAGCAGAATCCATGGGTCTGAATACAAGCCAGACATACTTTCTGGCTTCCTCTTTTGTTAGACATATGTGAAAATATAGGGAGATAAAAATTCTACTTTCAATGAACAAAAATATATGACTTGTGCAACACAAATCAACAGGGAAGAGTGGCCACAGCTCAAAATTACTCTGAGGACAGCAGGAAGGAAGAATTCTCCTAGGTGTGTGGAATCTTAATAATATGAGGGTCAGGACAGTGAAGGAATCAAGGAGAACTGTCACTGTTAGCAATCTATGCAGTAGAAGAGGGACAGAGAGGGCGCCCTCACAGGCAGGTCCAAGTCACTAAGCCTAAAGAATCACGTGGCAATGTCCCTGGCAAGTCATCTATAGCAACTCCCTCAGCTACATGCTCCAAGTGAAATATTACATTGAAAACCAAGCTAGACTACAGAGCTTGGACTAGAAGAAATTGGAAGGTAAGAGCCCTGCTCTTCACATACCCTCTACTACCTTGACTCTTACAGAATAGTGACACAAAACCAACTCCGTTATGACTGACATAGTCTTGGCCACTTCATTTATAGTTGTTGAATAAAAGGAATGAATAAATAAGTTTTAGCTAATTGAATGGTTTTCCTTTCTCTCATCCATTATCCTATTCCAGAACACAAGGCCTAAGCACTAACAGAGTGTTCAAAATCTAAAAAAGAAAATCACTTAGCCCTCCTTTTCCCCACCCAATCCCTGTACCCTTGCTTGTCTAAATCCTACTTACACTTAAGTATCACCTTCTCGGGGAAGGTTTTCCTCATTTCTCTAATAAGAATAAACATATCCATTTTACATGTTGTCTCTCTTTGTGAAACCAATTTCTTTTCATTGGTTTGAATTAAAATGATCTGTCAACACATTTGAGGTCCCCTGAGAAAGAATAGTAGCTTCACTCCTGCAGCTCCAGGGCCTGGCACAGTGGAGGGCACACTGTAGATATGCAACAAACACAGACTGAATGCCTGCTTACATTAAAGTCTTTCCCCTGTGCTGTCATCCACAAGCCAGGACCCTGTAGCTCCCTTCTTTGCTCTTTCTGGGTCGATTAGCATTATTTCAGAGGTTTGTTTTTGTTTTGTTTTGTTTTCTGGCTCATTAAAATTTATTTGCAGCTCCCAAAACAATATCCAAGGTTCTTATGTGTCCATTGGCCACCATAGCCATGTCCATAATGGCATGCACATTCTCAGGTGAAGATGAACACATGAGTTTATTCAGTGTTCATGAATTTTACAGATCATAACCACTGTAAATAACAAGAATCAATTTCATTGCATCTTTTGAACAGCTTGTTATCTCACTTTATCCAAAAAGCTTCTACTCACTCTCTGAATCACACTTTTCCCCAACCTTTGCACAGAATTTAACATTTATATTTTACTTCTTTCTTTGGTAAGATGTTATCTGAGTCTGCTCATGTGGTTGTTTCTTAAGGGCAAGGAATAGAGTCCACTAACTTCAGAAGGTCCACTTTTAAGAACAAGCATCTGCAGCATTCTTGACCCCAAAGAGATGACAATGTGCACCCACCTTCGATGTGTAAGTGTGACCGTCAGAGCCGCAGACCATCGTCGACTGGGCCATGGGACAGGGCTTGCACTTGACCAAGTTTGAAGTTCCAACCCAATGTTTGTGGGCCACATTTCCCTTCTTTTGTCTAAAAATAAGGAATGGGGGGGAAATATAATTTAGCTTAAGTCCGGTACTCTCAGGTCTTCGCTCCAAGTTCCTTGGATATAATGTCAAGTAAACATGCATCAGTTGTCACAGAATCAATTGCAGGTGACCCTATACAGGTAACCCCATGAATGATAGAATAATTGCTATTCTCCATAGGATTTCCAATGGTCATTTTACTTTTAGAGGTTGGCCACTAATTATTTCTTCTAAGGTACTCTGAGGACTAGAATTGTCAACTTTTTGTTGAGTAGTCAAGTATATTAACTGTTTGCATCACCCAGGGACTCAGAAAAAAATGACTGAAAGGACTGGTCAAACAGCAACAGACTCTTCAGGGCTCTTGGGAAACACTCCGTTCGTTCAAACTCATTAATGTTGAGTGGTGAGGTTCTGATCCAAAACCCTAGGTTCAGTTCCTAGCTGGACCAAGGAAAATAATTTTAGTCACTCAAACTGTTATAAAGCATTACTGATCAACATGGAGATACATTTATAAAACATTCTTTTATTTTAAATAAAAGGGCAAAGTTTAACAAATTTTAGTGCATTCACATGTGTGGCTTATAGCAAGTGCCCAGAGAATAGTACCTCAGAACATTGGGCTCTTCCAGACTTAACAGAAGCTCTAATAGACAGCTTTCTGCATGGATGGATCTCTCTAATATACACACATGCACATCCAAACAAAATTCAGTATTTGAGCTAGAAATTTATCTCCAAACACAACCAAATGATTTTATCATTGCTGTAGAAAACTCTCTCTGGATACATTTTCAAGCAATTTCAGTCTAGCTTCCAATTTGCCATTCGATAGAAACACAGAGGTGATGTCACTTTCAACTGTTAAAATAATCAGAATTCTACTCTTTCATTCCAGCTTGAGTTTCCTCCTATTCTAACCTTTGTCATAATGATAAATGGTGCTATTAAGATGGCTTGTGTCCACAGAAGGAAGCCCATCAGAGTATCATAAACCACTGAAATAAAGGCATGCAGTTACTGCCACCCTTTCTCTCTTTGCCGAAGCTGTTTCCCAGCAAACACACAAAATGACTCTCACAGCTTTGGGGCCAAGTGCCAGGTGGAGGACAAGCATCTCTGGACTGTCCATCAATCAGGCAATTATTGTAACCTTGACATGTTCTGCACTGGCAGTGCTGCCTAGGGGTTACTGTTGGACTTGGAGTCAGAAAGCATCACAGATTAAATCTCAAATCTACCACTTGCTCTCCATATGACCTTAGGCTAATTAGTAAAACACTGTAAATCTCATTCCCCTCATCTACAAAATAAAAAGAATAGCATCTACTTCAAACAGATGTTATAAGGATTAAATTAGTTAATATATGCAAAGTCTTCAGCATATGGCCTGGAAAATAAGAAACTATAAAAACTGTAGTTGTTCAATTAATATCTGCTTTAGTAGATGGAGGTATAAAGGATGAAACTGTAATTGCCATAGAAATGTGACTTGTCCTCATTCCCTAGGTTTGGACTGGCATTTCTCTACAATGCCCCAGCTGGCTACAATAGGAGGGTCCTCCTCCCCCACAAGCATGTGTGGAATGAATCGCAGTCAATTAAAATTTACACTTTAGTGTTTGAGGTAACGTACACTCTTCCAAATGAAGGAGAATGAGTAATAGAGAGATGAATAAAAGAGTTTTATTCTTATTCCACCTCAACCCTATCCTAGCAATTTTGGGGAGACAGTGAGAGGAGAATGTGTCACTGGAAACCTGTCTGGTCTTTTTAGGGTGGCATCAAAAAGGATTACAATGTACCACAGCATGAGTTTTGGTGTCATTAAGGACCCCAGGCTAGGCAAACGATAGGAATGAGTCTGTTTTACCCAAAGAACCAGGGAAGGCAGTCTCATAAGATTCTCTAGGCATGATCCAACACAACTTTTACTAGTGAGGGTAATCTGAGGCCCAAAGAGAGGAAGAGTCTCATCCAAAGTTACACATATAACGAACAGCTTGGCCCAAGATGACATCCCACAGCTGCAGAGAGTTGGAGGTGGAGCTCTCTCTTTGACGAGTCTCAGTTCTACCTGGAAAGTCAACTTGAGCATTCTTCTGGAGCACTTCCATACCTTTGGGAAGGCACGCTCTCAGCCTTCTCTCTCTTCAAAACAACCTATGTTAACCTTACCTCTATTTCTTCAGAGGGCCTTGTTGTTGTTCCTGTTAGGTGCCAATGAGTCTACTACCACTCCTAGTAACCCCTATGTACAACAGCTCTATCTGAACATGTCCTGTCCTGGGCTATCTTCACCATCTCTGACACGCTCAAGCCTACTGTTATAATCACTGTGTTAATCCTTCTTGTTGACTCCCTCTCTAACTTTTCACATTTCCTGGCGTGTTGCCCTTCTCTGACTCTCACATTTCCTGGCATGATGTCCTTTTTCAAGGACTGCCCCCTCCTGAAAACATGCTCAAAGTATGCAAGATGAAGTTTCCTTGTCCTTGCCTTGAGGGGACAAGGACAAGGGGGATGAGAATCTATTATTAGCATTTTCTCTTGACATTATGCAACCATGAGGTCTCCTATTAGGCTTTGCCAAACAAACTTTAGTTTTTCAAAGTTTATTCTGGACAAAGGTATGATGGTGATGGGACTCCATGGCGCAGATGAGCAGGATGTCAGCACAGGGTTAATCTTAGAGTACATGATTGCTTTCAGCAAACACTGTGTATTTATCATTATTCACACAGCAGATTGTCTGACACCAATAATGAATCCACAAATGCAAGCAAAAGCTCTGGCGTCTGGCAGCTCCTCTCCTGGGTCAGTCCCCAGTGTGCATACCCATGACTGAGGAAATTGTTGTTGTGAGTTCACAGGAAGGGGTTACAAAGTCCAAGAGCAGGCAGTTTTGCTTGAGGAGATAAAAACACAGACAATGATGCCTCAAGGGGAAGAAGTCTCAGAGAAGCTTAGCTAAAGGCAGGGGAGGGAGGAATGGACGCTGAGCCAATGGTTTGAGGGAGAGCTAAAACCAGCCATCAATCACCAGTTAATGACAAGTCATCTCTGACTCTGGACCCAAATTCCACCATTAAATTAGGTTCACTAACAGAGAGCAAACAGCAAAGAGGTGAGGCTGGCAGGTGTCACTGGACAGCCTAGTGTCTCTAATAGATATGTTAATCATTAGGTACAGGGAAAATCAGAACACTTTGACCTTTCCACTTATATCCCCCAGGCACTGCCCATCACCACCTGCCAGTGGGAATGCTTAGAGTAACCTTCTGCAAATGATTTTCAGGCACCTTGTTTTAAAAGGATTTAATTTATAAAACTGAATTCTGACAATGAAAATACAGTTCCCCCAATAGAGAATTAAAATAGCTTCAGAGCAGCGTAATGAGTATCAGGATAACTTCAATTTGACAATCATGCATCAATTATTTGGATGTCTTAAGACAAATTTTACAAAGTTGGTTAAGTCCCTTCTGGATGGTGTGAGGAACCCCATGTACTACAATGCTGACTTAGCAGATATCAAAAAAGTCACAGAACTCCAGATACAAAGAACATGAAACTAATCTGGCCCAATAATTTCACTTTTTTTTAAAAAAAAAATTTCAATGAACATCTACAGAGATTTTGGAATTCCATTCATTCATTGTTGCACTTTTCTCCTCACCCACCCCATGCCCCACCCCCCGTTTGCTCCTCTCCTTGAAAAGCAAAACTCCTTTATTGGTACTTTCACTTTGTAAATGAGAAATTGGACACACACATGGAAAGTAACGGCTTAATGCCATGCAGTAACTTGATACATGTTTGTAAAAATGACGTCAAAAACATGTGATGCATGTTTGTCAAATTGAAGTTATCCTAAAACTCACTACCCCGCACCAGAACTATTTTAATTCAAACTATTTTCATTGTTTGGGTTCAGTTTTTGAAATTAAATTAGTTTCAAACAAAGTACCTAAGACTCTCTTGCAGAGGGACAAGCTCAGTATGCCCAGTGTCACGTGGTGATAGGCTGTGCCTTGCAGGATCTAAAGAAAAGATCAAACTATTCTGACTTTTCCCGATTCAAATGAACAAACATCCCTATTAGATGGGAACAAATCTAGGCACTCTTTATTTCACAAGGACCTTACTGGAGTTCATACTGAAATGTGTGGTCTCTCCAGAGATCAAATGATTAGGAGAATGAAGACATACTGCAGAAATCCTACAAGTGTGTGAGTCCATAGAGGCATAATTTTGACTACTGTATATGTGTTTCAATTTCCACAATTCAGTGCAAATCATAAAAAATAACCATCTCAGTTGAGGCAAGGAATTAAGTTCTCTAAATCAAAATATTTCAATTCTTGAGCCAATGAAGAGTAAAATCCAATGAAGGTGTTTTGATGGGATTGCTATGGCCCAATGTCACAGACATTCATCAACGGAGGAGACACAAATAATTTAGTCTCAGAGGCAGGTCTTGCAATCAGCCACTAAGCCCTCATGTCTCAGCTTGACATTTCTGAGGAGCTTCCACACTCTTACTAGACAGCGTCACATGGAAAATTCCAACCCGCCAACACCTTTAAACACAGACTTAGTAGACAATCAGCTGATCACTGGCATTACTCTCTCTTTTCTTTTCAATTGCATATTCTCAATCTTTTATAAAGTCTACCAAAAGTCTCAGCATTTATGTTTTTAAAGCAGATTGGTGATTGTGATTCTTAAGTACCAACCTGATTATGTAATTTCTCTGCATAAAAGCTTCAACTTCTAGTTCTGGCCATGGCACTTTGATCAAAGCATCGTTATTCAGTGTAATTAAACTGTCCCAGCTGACCGTGTGTTTTGTTTCTTTCTTCAACACACACATTCACACACACACACACACACACACACACACACACACACTCACACACACACACTGACCACCACCACCAGTACATATATTTTTCTTCCAGCCACTGTTTCTGATAGCCTAGTGGGTAAGGAGTT